ACTCCTCTCTTACAAACAACGCTGGACTCGTGTGTTAGCATGTAGCATCTTTAGCAGATAAGACAACATGTGTTAGCATGTAGCATCTTTAGCAGATAAGAAAATGTGTATTAGCATGTAGCATCTTTAGCAGATAAGACAACGTGTGTTAGCATGTAACATAGCATGTAGCATCTTTAGCAGATAAGGGAACATATATTTTAGCATGTAGCATCTTTAGCAGATAAGGCAACATGTATTAGCATGTAGCATCTTTAGCAGATAAGGCAACGTGTGTTAGCATGTAGCATCTTTAGCGGATAAGGGAACATGTATGTTAGCATGTAGCATCTTTAGCAGATAAGGCAACATGTATTAGCGTGTAGCATCTTCGGCAGATAAGGCAACATGTATGTTAGCATGTAGCATCTTTAGCAGATAAGGGAACATGTATGTTAGCATGTAGCATCTTTAGCAGATAAGGCAACATGTATTAGCATGTAGCATCTTCGGCAGATAAGGCAACATGTATGTTAGCATGTAGCATCTTTAGCAGATAAGGGAACATATATGTTAGCATGTAGCATCTTTAGCAGATAAGGCAACATGTATTAGCATGTAGCATCTTTAGCAGATAAGGCAATGTGTGTTAGCATGTAGCATCTTTAGCGGATAAGGGAACATGTATGTTAGCATGTAGCATCTTTGGCCGATAAGGCAACATGATGTTAGCATGTAGCATCTTTAGCAGATAAGGCAACATGTATTAGCATGTAGCATCTTTAGCAGCCAAGGCAAAGTGTTAGCATGTGGCATTTAAACTTCAAACTAAGAGTGTCAAAAAATAAAACATTTACAATATTTAAACAAATACATGTWAATTATGGTACAGAAAGTATTTGCTATTTGTTGTATTTGTAATGTAAAACCAACTTGATCAAAGAAATGCTTTTATTCTGAAAGGGCTMAACTGGAAGTATGACAAGTTAGAGCTKAAACCAATAGAAAACTAACAAAAGGTTTGCATCCTCAAAGACTGGTGACTACTAATCTTTTTGGCGGTTAGCATTAGCTTCTATGGATTTCTTTTAGAGGTTTAGCATTAGCATTAGAGTTAAAATTGTTGTTTAGCAGATTAGCTGTTAGCAAAGCTAACTTTCTGGTTAGCTGCATCCACCACTGACAKAGGGACAGTCTCTTTTCGGGACCTGTGTGTTACAATGTGAGCCAGGCCAACAAAGACCCTAATGACCCTCAGGAGGGAGGRGAGGGAGATTTATCTGCACGTGAGTTTAGCAGCGTAAAAAGTCGTACTTACTCTATAAAAGTGCATTATGTTCTCCTTTGTCTGAGTCTTCAGATGAGCTACCTCTATGTTATCTGTGAAACAAACAGGAAGTGTCGACATCATCAWCATGTCAGTTCAGCAGAAGATAGATGAACTTCTGTCGCTCTCTGATGATCAGCGAACAGAACTACCCTGAGCAGCCCCTCATTACATCAGGACCACCAGAGTCCAGAACAGTCCAGGCCTCACCTCGGTCAAAGTTATACTGCTGAGAGATGATCTCGCCCCAGTACTTGGCACACTCAGCTGAGAGCTTCTTGGGCTTGTCCAGGCGGCGGATGGCCAGGGCCTGGATGTGTTTCTGGAAGGCCTCCTCGTTCATGTCCTCCAGGGTCTTCTCCATGGTGCACAGGAAGGCCTCCACGCGGCTCTCCAGGTAGTGCGGCGCCTTCTCCGACTGGATGATGAAGCGCAGGCCCTGCACGCCGTTGGCACGCCGAGGCCCGCTGAACACGATGTAACCTGCGAGGGTTTGAGGACAGGAAGGTGTTGAAGTGAGCCGCCACAGGAAGCAGGTGTTCCAGCTGCTGTTTGGACTCACCGAGCTGCTCTTTGGTTCTGAGCGTGTTGAAGCAGGGTTCTGAGATGATCTGACAGAACAGTTCCAGCAGCATGTTCTCCTGGGTCGTCTGCATGTCCGTCTGATAGTAGATCTCGATGCCGCAGTTGTTGTGAACCTCGTTTCTCTGCTGATAAACAAACCAGCCACCTGAAACACAGACAGGTCCAGGTTCATCGCAGCCGAGGGCCAGAAACAAACATCAGAACTTAGATTTCACGGAGACGCTGTCGCCAACATCAGAAGACTAAAAACAGAAACTTAACGTCAGATTTTTAACATTAAATATGTAACATCAGATATTTAACATTAAATATGTAACATCAGATATTTAACATTAAATAT